TGCATGCTGCTTCTGCGTCAGACTGATGCTGGCTGGACAGGATTTACCGCGAGTTTTCAAAATCGCAATAATCAAATACGGTTTTGATGATAATTCAATTTTAAACGATAATACTAACCGTCAGGGCATTTTATCGTGATTTATCGTGAAACCGGTAATCGTTCCATCCCTAGTGTTAAATGGCACTTTATGGAAATGACATTTAAAGATTTTTGTTGATAAAATAGCATATCTACATAATTTGACAACATTACCTCTTGACTGGAAATGATGCACAGCAACATCTCTTACTGATTTTTCTGGGTCTGAGTGAAGGGGACAATAAAAAAAAAGAATTTGAATTTGAAATGCTAGAAAAAGTTTCCAAGACAGATTAATGAAACCTTCTTACAACAAAAAGAGAGAAACTGACATTTTATAATAAAAATTAATTCCTTGGAAATAAAAGTGGCCATAGTAGAAAACACAGAAAATAACTTCTGCTTAAGTGTAATAAATGAATGTCTTGTGTCCTTTGGAACTGCATCGTGCCACGCTGACTGGCGGTCCCCCATCCCCGAAGCCCACAGATCTGATGTGTCTGGAGAGCACTATTGAATTTTACATGGCCTGTAGACCAGCCATAGTTTTTATTACCACAGATCCCACTAAACACAATGACCTTAAACACATCTCGCTGTGCTCTAGTGCTGCATGGCAGTGTTACATAATTCCATTAAACCCACAGCCAGTGGAGGTCTCATTGACGCTCTCCAGACTCCCTCCCTTTCTGTCCACCATCAAATTTGACGGTCAGCAGTCTATTCTCTACCCATTAGCTCTGTCCCTCTGTGTCATTGATATTCACCCTCTCTTCATAACAGATATAGGGCACACACAGTGTCATCCATAGGACAAAGTTAAAAGTCTTACATAAGAGACCATGGGGTTTTATCAACAACAAGCTGGAAAGAGAGGCCATGTGTGGATAATACTATGAGGGAACAACAGAACTATGGACATAAATATTATGGGGAAAATACAGTCAAATGAGCATTGTAGATATTTTAGTGGGTAACTGATAAAACAGCTTGACGTGATATTCTGCATTCCTCTGGTGTTCTGCTTTGACCTATAAAAACAGGAACCTGCATACATGAAAGATGTAATGACAACAAAACGTTACAGTGTGAAAACAGGGTGTAAATCAAGGACAAGGGCTCATCAGGGCCTCATGGCAGGTGCATGAAGGACACATCTGACAATCAAAGTCTTCTTTTATAGCTTAACAGAGAGGCACAAAGGGACAAAAGTTAATGGTGATGAATATATTACAACAGTCATGGACGAAAATGCTGCTTATTTACAAATTTGCTCTTGAAAGTAAATTTTGTCAAGAAGCTGATCTAAATGATTTTCTGTTCACTTCATACCTTAAGGTTACACAGAGATAACCCTGAGGACCATGAAACCCATTGCACACTGGTAGGGTGACCACGCATCCTCTTTTTCAATGTCTGGTTTTTATAGATGCTGAAGCTAATGTAGCTTACATCCAGTCATTGTACATAAATAATCGACCAATTGTGGCATGCGAGAAGGTGGGATCTACAAACAACTGTCAAAACAATGCAAATACATGTACATATAATGTATAAGGACTGTAGAGAGCACATCAGTTGGAAAACAAAGCCTTGTCTTTTTAGGCATTTTAGATTTTGATATTTTTTACATTTTGAATAGAAACGAGTGCTGGACATGTTCTAATATGTTCTGTGATGCGTTTCACAGATGTTTTTATATGAATCAGTGCACTTGAATGCACTTATGCTTGAATTAAATATGCTAATTCTGATCTCAAAAGTTAAAAATCTTCAAAATGTTTCAGAAAACCATTAAAGATATAAGATCTATTGCCATCTACTGGTACACATTTATAATTGCAATAAAAGTCACAGTAAACAAGTCTTTTTTTTTTTATTGTCATTGACAATTGTTTACAAAGAAACAGAAAATAGCAAAAACTATGACAACACAAAATATAAAATATGTGATTTAACATCAAGCTAGATACAATGCTTTTGTTTCTAGACAAATATAAAGAACATTATAATTCCATTTGGAAAAAATAGCCTCTGCCGTATTTAATATTTATAATATTTATAATGAATAAATACTTTACAAACTATTTTGATATGTTTTGTTTTTTGAACCACAAATATGATTACATGCCATCTGATTCAATTGCACATCCAAAATTGTTCAATGAGGTAAAAGAATTTGTTCAGTACATTTACTAAACAAATTATGTGAGAAGAAAACATTAAAAGAACAACCACTTCTAACATTTTAATGCTTCATTTTGAGATCTGTTCCGTTTAAACAATGTTATGTATTTTACCTTAATATCAGAGCACAAAAGAGTATTTTGTACTTAGCACAACTGCCAATCATGTAGACCTATCATACTTAACACAGTCACCTGGTTCAAGTGTGGCTTTTTAGTGCCTAAGACGTTAGAAGTAGATTTTAGGGTTACATTCACTCCAGCCTGACTCTGCCTATCATGACTGTACAGCAATATATTCACCAATATACTGTCAAGACATGACCTTCCTTCTGCAGGTGATCCTCATATGACCAATGGGAATGTCCTAGAAGTGCATGCTGTATTCCTGACTAGGCTTGTGTGTAGCGGATGATCTCACTCAAGTCATAGCCGGTCACTGCAAAGGCGTAGCCGTCCCCATCACAGAACTTGGCTCCACAGATCTGTGTATCAGTCACACACTCATTGTACATGTGCTCAATCTAGAAAGGGCAGAGAAAAATGTGGGAGTATATTTCAAATCAGCTGAACACACAAAATGCTTTGCAACGAATGTTCATTTAATGAAACTACTAATGCAGTTTTAGTGCATGTACTCCACCAATCAAAAGTTCAGGGTTGGTAAGATTTTTTAAATGTTTTTGAAAGTCTTATATGCTCACCAACAGTAATATTGTAAAATATTATTACAATTTTTTTAAATTTGAATTGTTAATAAATTTGTGTTATGGCAAAGTTGAAATTTTCACCATTACTCCAGTCTTCAGAGTCACATGATCTTGCAGAAATCATTCTAATATGCTGATTTGCTGCTCAAGAAACATTTAATATTATTATGAGTGTTGAAAATAATATTGCTGCTTAATACTTTTGTAGAAACAGATACTTTTTTCAGGATTCTTTGAACAAAGTTAAAAATAACTAATAAATAGCATTTACTTGAATTAGAGATAGCATTAACTTTATAAATGTGTTTGCTGTCACTTTTGATCAATTTAATGTATCTTGCTGAGTAATATAATTAAATTCTTTCATAAAAATCTGACTGACCACAAACTTTTGAACGGTAGTGTACTGTATTTGTCTGTGAGTGGTTTTACCTCTACACTGTTAGTCTCTGGAGTCAAGCTCAGATGCCATACTCTAACCCAGGAGTCTTCTGCTGCAGAGATCAGCTTTTTCATTGAACAAAGGAAAACACTATCAGTATAAGAGAGTTTACCATTATAAATAAATAAACCATAATAAAATAATAACATTTATAATAAAATACATCTGAATACAACAAGTTCTTGATTAAGACTATTTGTGTTCTTAATTACTACTTAAAATGTACATATGTATAGTTGCATACAATAACTGTGCGACATACAGACTGTATACATAATTATTCTCTCACCAGTCCAGTGAATGGGGCGATGTCCAGTGAGTAGATCCAGCGTGCATGGGCATTGACTTCTGCATGCAGTATACCTGTGACCCCCTCATACAGACGGATCTGTCCCGTCCCATAGCCAGCAATGACTGTGCCCTTCCAGAGTTTTACTGAAGAACAACTTGTGCTGAGAGATACGTATATACATATTATATTAATGATGTACTGGCATAAGTATAGTGGGCCTATTTCATGAAACACAAGCAGATGAGTACATGCACATGAGTTTTTGTGTAAATTGTTTGTAAATCAGTCCGACGTGAATTTTCAGATTAATAAAAAGGTTTAAGAAAACTTATGACACTGCATTTTGATAAAACTTACCATAATAATATATAATCACTAAATTAAATAATTTAATCACTAAATCAATAAATGAGTTATTTAAGGTGTAAAATACATTTCACTGCTAAACAAAAATGAGACATAGTCTGTTTTTTATTTTATCATAAAACACTATTATTTTGAGCACCAGCATTAGTCTGCGAGCTTAACACATTAATTATAGAATTTTTTTTAGGAATATGGCCATTTACTATTTTGCATTCATGTAATATATTGGAGCCAAACCTGAGAAGGGAGTCTGTGGCGAGGGGGGCGTGGTTTAGCGGGGTTTGCAGTGGGAGGGAGCGGTCGGAGACGAGCGGTGAGTAAGTAGGTCAAGTGCAGAATGACATTCACCTGCTTCTACTTACAGTGATTGGCGTGGGGAGACCGTAAAAGGCCACGGCAGATCAGAAGTGGCAGAGAGAGACCGACTGAGGACTCGTGGCCCAAGTGAACAAGATTACAGCCAACGTGCCCTGAGTTTATGTTATTTGATGCGTGTGATCACGCCTATGCTTATAGTTTTGGGAGACTTAAATAAAATTCCACCCAAAACCCACCTGCCGCAAATGGCTACTGGCTGGCGGAGGCGACGTCGAGCAAATACTCGATCGTGTGGTACTGGAGCAGTTCATCGGCCGTCTCCCAAGGAAGACGGGCAGAGTGGGTCCAGTGCCACTGCCCGGCGTCACTAGACCTGGCCAGTTGGCGGAGGACCAGATGGTGGCGTGCCCAGGAGTCGACGAAACTCTGCCAGCTGTCTCTCTCTCTCTCTCTTCCCCTAATCTCTCTGTTCTCTCTCGACCTGTCCCTTTTCCCAGGTCCCGTCCGGGTCTTCTCCCCCGAGTTCCACCCCGGGGATGGGGTGGGCCGAGTCTGGAGACTTCCGCTGGCCCGAGAGTGCCGCCCAGGGGGGCGGCGGGGCTGACCAGCGCAGGCGCCGTTGCAATGCAGTTCTCTCCGCTCTCCCCACGCCAGTCCCTTGACCCACTTCCTGCCACTAGGGCGGCGAGGAAGCCTGGGCCGGCCTGTTGGCGTTGCGGGAACCCAGGGCATTTTATTGATCGGTGCCCAGTGATGGAGGTGGGGGCACTGATCCGGGTCCCGGACGACCCACAGGCTGCCCCCGATCAAGCTGGCCTGTACCAAATACCTGTGAGTATTAAGGGGGGTACCTATCTGGCTTTGGTGGATTCGGGTTGTAACCAGACCTCGATCCACCAAAGTCTGATTCAGCTCGGGGCATGGGATAAAAGCTGCGTGGTTCCAGTACGGTGTGTGCACGGGGATGTGGTAAAGTATCCTGTAATGCCCGCGGTTATTCAATTTCGGGGGGAAAAGCATAGTGTGGAGGTTGCAGTTAACCCGCACCTCCAACATCCGCTGATTTTGGGGACAAATTGGCCAGCGTTTCGTCAATTAATGGAGTATTTATATGCGGATGTCTCTTGTGGAGAAAGAAAGCTGGGGAGCGCGGCGGACGCGCAGGTGGGAGTGGCTGAACTGGGACCGCGGGATACTGAACCAGGGGAACGGCGCGCGGAGGAGGGGCTAACCCTCGCTGAGCGTGATGATTTTCCCCTGGAGCAGTCCCAGGATGACACACTAAAACGTGCATTTGAACAGGTCCAATCCATCGACGGTCAGCGTCTCCAACCGGCTCGTCCGCTGTCCTATCCCTATTTTGCTATTTTAAAGGAACGGTTGTATCGAGTGACACAAGACACTCAGACAAAGCGGGATACAACCCAACTATTAGTACCTAAAAGCCGTCGGGAAATGCTATTCCAGGCGGCTCATTCTAATCCAATGGCGGGACATTTGGGACAGGCAGCGACACTAAACCGTCTCATGACCCGATTCTTTTGGCCGGGCATTCACGAGAATGTGCGCAGGTGGTGCGCGGCTTGTCGTGAATGTCAGCTGGTAAATCCACCGGCCTCCCCAAAAGCGCCTTTGCGCCCTCTCCCTCTTATGCAGGTCCCCTTCGAAAGAATTGGTATGGACCTCATCAGGCAATTAGAACGGTCGGCACGCGGGCATCGGTTTGCATTAGTGCTGGTGGACTATGCAACCTGATACCCGGAGGCAGTAGCGCTTCGCAACATTTCAGCGAAAAGTGTAGCGGACGCACTGTTTCGATTAATCTCCCGAGTGGGAATCCCAAAAGAGATTCTCACTGACCAAGGTTAACATTAAAAACCATGATTCGGAAGTTCGTTCACGAGGACGCTAGAAATTGGGATAAGTGGCTGGAGCCCCTCTTATTCGCTGTGCGGGAGGTCCCGCAAGCCTCCACTGGGTTTTCCCCCTTCGAGCTTCTCTATGGACGGCAGCCCCGCGGGGTGCTGGATGTCCTGAGGGAAACTTGGGAGGACGGACCTTCAGAAAGCCGAAATGAAATTCAATACGTGCTGGACCTGAGAACAAAACTCCACACTTTGGGGCGGCTGTCAATGGAGAATTTGTTTCAGGCCCAGGATAAGCAAAGCCGGCTATATAAACAGGGGAGCCAGACTACGGAAATTTGCACCGGGAGAAAAAGTTCTTGTATTACTTCCCACGTCTAGCTCTAAATTACTCGCCAAGTGGCAAGGGCCCTTCGAGGTCACACGGCGAATTGGAGATCTTGATTATGAGGTAATTCGTACAGACAGGGGCAGAGCGCATCAGATCTACCACCTCAACCTCCTCAAAAAGTGGAGCGAGGCGGAATCAGTGATGTTAGCGACGGCAGTGAGTGCGGAGGATGATCTCGGGCCAGAGGCGAACATCAAACATCAATCCCTGGCTCTGGCCCCTGGAGGAGATCACCTCTCGCCCTCGCAGCTCACTGATGTAGCTAAGCTACAGGCCGCTTTTGCGGATGTGTTTTCGCCCCTGCCTGGCCGAACCTACCTCATACAGCACCATATTGAGACTGAGCCGGGAGTGGCGGTTCGCAGCCGGCCATATCGGTTACCTGAACACAAAAAAAAGGTCGTTCAGACAGAATTAGAGGCAATGCTAGAGATGGGAGTAATAGAGGAGTCCCACAGCGATTGGGCGAGCCCGATAGTTTTAGTACCTAAAACAGACGGCTCCGTGCGATTCTGTGTGGATTATCGCAAGGTGAATGCTGTGTCGAAATTCGACGCATATCCCATGCCGCGGGTTGACGAATTACTTGATCGGCTGGGTACAGCTCGATTTTATTCGACACTGGACTTGACGAAAGGATATTGGCAGATCCCCTTATCACCATTATCCAAAGAAAAAACAGCCTTCACAACGCCGTTTGGATTACACCAGTTTGTCACACTTCCTTTTGGGCTGTTCGGGGCACCGGCCACGTTTCAGCGCCTCATGGACTAAATCTTACGGCCGCATGCTGCGTATGCCGCTGCCTATCTTGATGACATTATCATCTATAGTAATGACTGGCAGCGGCATATGGAGCACTTGTGTGCCGTACTGGGGGCACTGAGGAGGGCCGGGCTGACGGCCAACCCAAAGAAGTGTGAGATTGGGCGTGTGGAGGTCCGGTATCTGGGCTTCCACTTGGGCCACGGGCAGGTGCGTCCCCAAATTAATAAGACTGCAGCAGTTGCAACTTGCCCGAGACCCAAGACCAAAAAGGAGGTGAGGCAGTTCCTGGGGCTGGCGGGATATTATAGAAGGTTTGTACCTAATTATTCGGACCTCACCAGCCCGCTGACTGACCTCACTAAAAAGGAAGCGCCAGATCCGGTCCAGTGGACGGAGTTGTGCCAGCGGGCTTTCACCCAGGTAAAGGCTGCCCTGTGTGGCGGACTGCTGTTACACTCTCCTGACTTCTCTCTCCTTTTCTTGTTGCAGACGGACGCCTCGGACAGAGGGCTGGGAGCCGTGCTGGCCCAGGAGATAGGGGGTGAGGAGCGGCCGGTGCTGTACATCAGTCGCAAGCTCTCTAAGAGGGAGACGATGTACAGCACCATTGAAAAGGAATGTTGCCAACGTGCCCTGAGTTTATGTTATTTGATGCGTGTGATCACGCCTATGCTTATAGTTTTGGGAGACTTAAATAAAATTCCACGAGCCTCAGTCACGCCGACTCCGACTTCTTCCTTTCCCCTAAACGAACTTTGTTACAGAGTCCAATTGATCCTACAGGATTCTGTACACATAAATCACATTGTAATTTATAGGCAGGGATTTTACTAATAATCAATGAGTGTGTAGATTAACCTCAATTCTGAGGTTTAAAAACTGTACGTGAAAACAGGGGAAATTTTTCAGGAAGGTCCACCTTATGTACAAATTTTTCAGAATATACTAATATATTTGCGAATGTTTCATGAATGAAACCCATTGTCTCTTGTATAGTGAGTGTTAATTTCCAACATACTCAAAACCAGGGATCTTGTTGAGCAGTTGAAAATCTTCTCCTGATTTCCACACACAGAGGAGGCCAGAGTCATCAGCACTAACTAAATCAGCAATGCACTCCTAAAAAAAGAAATCATTTTAATAATAAAACACTTGAGCCACCAGTAACTTAAACCAACTGAAGAAAACATGAAAAAAAAAAAAAAACTATAAATAGCATTTGCCCTACGGTTTACAAACATAACACTTATATGAAAGTTATTGTAAGTTAATACCAGATTGCCTGAGCACTCAGAGGCCATGTCTGTGATTGCCTCTTTATGTTCCTCCAAAACCTCAGACAGGGTGATGTTACTGCCTTTACTGGGAACGTCAAACACCAGCACTGAGCCAGATGAGACCCCTGAAGGAAGTGTGAGGAACTGAAAAGGGCACTTTTAGGGCACATACTAAGCTAATATGTAAATGGTTTAGAACGGTACCCTGTATAGCCACTGCTGACTGATGAAGCCACTCACCTACACAAATATATTTTTCCCGCACCGCTGCAATTCCTCGGGCAAACACTGCTTTCGCTGGAAAATTTTAACAGACAATGTCAGACAGGTACACAGTACTAACAACCTAATTCCCCACAGTTAAAGGATGTGAAAATGAAAAAAAAAAGAACACATTTACTGTATTTATAGAGACACAGAAGTGTGCACTGACCAGTAGGGGTCTCTGGCGTGTCCAGTGCATGCCAATAGACCATAATTGATCCATCTGATTCATACATCTGATGAATAAACACAGTTCAAGTCATGTTTACTGGGCAAATAAACAATTTTAATAGCCTGGCATAACAATTGACCCACCTGGATCCCCTTCTGAGAGGTGAGAACAAGAAGATCTCTTGAGGGCAGGACACACCAGGCTGCCTGTCAGACAAAAAAAGTGTCAGATTAGAAATTAAGTGCCAGCAGTTAAGACACTTGTAGGCAAAACTGCTCTAAACCAGTATAATCATCAGCCTTTATTAGGACTCAAATGGTACTTTAGTCTGACTTACCTGCATGATAACTGAGGAGCTGGTGGCCACGTTGCCCTCTTTAGACTGCAGCTGTCGGTGGGAATAGTTCAGCCCGTCCCAGGAGGCGCTGACCATGTTCACCACGTTGGCGTGGACCACCGTGAAATAGGTGAGACATCGCGGCGCGATGCGCAGGACGCTCAGGTTGTTGTAGAGCGCCGACGCGCTGCTCTTTATCTGAATGCTTTTATCTTTGTGGTACATTTTCGCCATTTTTTGGAAGAGCGCCGCTTGTTTACTTTAAACTAGAGATGTCGTTTCTGAAAGACAAGGCAGGACATGGAAATCAGTTGTGAAGAGTTTCCTGAGACCGTGAATTCGAGGCTGTTCAAACTAACAGTTGCGTTGCACTGCACTAAATCGGATTGTAGCAGCATGTCCAGATGGATGGTCTCTCGACAGCAAGATGTGAAATATGAAATAGGCTACTGCTTCTTTTACAATAACAACACTGACATTTAATTAACCTCAAAAATAATTATATACCATGTAATTGGGAATGATTCATACATATAACGTTGCATAAATCTAAGCAGCTACCAACCCTGAATGAAAGCAGCTGATGGGTTCTCCTATTAATCCTCTTCGTTTCAGAGCAAATACTGAACTAAATGGCTCCAAATATGAAAATGACATACGCCGTTTCTGTTATTAGACAAAAGAACGGCAGACAAGAGGTATTATGGATATACGAATTGTATTTAAGCAAGCTTTTACCATCTCGCGTCTCTTGCAGCCATAGTGACGGAGCAGACGTGTGTAGAACGTCACAGTTATCTGCGGTGCACGGAGTGACGCAAAGTTCTGAGCGTCTGAAACGTTTTAAAAACTTTCGCATCTACAGCGGGCTATACTGTATTCCATGTATTTATTTTTTTTTAATGAATTTTCTAATTTGTTTGTTTCTTTCTTTATGCATGTTTGTATGTATGTATGTTCTAAGGCTATATCACTGTTCGTGTGCGTTTTCATAACCTTCTTTGTGACGATGGACACTCTAGTTGAGCTCCATGATCATATGTGGAGATAGGAGAAATCTACAGAAGGAAAACATCACTGCAACACTCCACCGATCTGTGCTTTATGCCGGTGTGGCAAGACTCAATCCTCTCCTCAGTGAAGACACATGAAAACACACTTAGAATTTGCAAAAAGCACCTAAAGGACCCTCAGACTGTGAGAAACAAGATTCTCTGGTCTAATGAACCTCAATTCCAAGCATCATGTTTGAAGGAAACCAGCTCTGCTCATCACCTGCAGAGTAGCATCCCAAAAGTAAAGTGTGCTGGTAGCAGCCTCATGCTGTGGGGCTGTTTTTCAGCGGCAGGGACTGAGGGACTCGTCAGAGTAGAAGAAAAGCTCAATGCACCAAAATATTGAGATAGCCTTAATGAAAACCCAGTCCAGAGCATTCAGAACCTCAGACTGGGCAGAAGGTTCACCTTCCAACAGGACAATGACCCTAAGCACACAGCAAGAGTGGCTTGTAGACAACTCTATAAATGTCCTTGAGTGGCCCAGCCACAGCCCGGCTTGAACACAATCAAACATTTTTGGAGAAATCTGAAAATGTCTGTCGACCCCCATCCAACCTGACAGAGCTTGAGAGGTGAAGAGGTGAGGAGAAGAAAGGCAGATAATTGCCAAATGCTGATGTGCAAAGCCTGCCGCATCATACCCAAAAAGACTTGAGACTGTAAAGGTGCTTCAGCGAAATATTTAAAGGTATGAATACTTATGCAATGTACTTACTTCAGTTTTTAAAAAAAAAAAATTTTACAGAGTTGTGACAATTCTGTTTTTGCTTTGTCATTATGGTGTATAGAGTGTAGATTGATGTGGAAAAAAGTTATAAAATAAAATTTAAAGCAGTTTAACTTAAGGCAGCAACAAAACAAAACGTGAAAAAAATGAAAGGGTATGAATACTTTTGCAAGGCACTGTATATATATATATACTTTTTCAATACAATTCAAATAATTTTAGTTGACATGACAAATTTAATAGGTAGACAAGAGTTTGCTGAAGGATGCATGGATTGAAGACTGGACTGACATGGGGTCGCCATGCCACTGTGCTGTTTTCAAAATCATCCGATTTGATGTCAAGGAGACCTGCCAGGCAAGAATACAAAAAATTGTGACATTTGAAAAAAATGGGTGAAAGGACCCATTAATATACAATCCTGATCCAGTTCAGAGGTTGTTGCCCCTTCAAACAATTCATGCAAAGTAACCCTGTCAAATATTAAAGTCTGGGCAGCCTGTGATGCCAGTACAAGCTGTGCCTGAAATATGTAGGTCTTCACAAGCAAAAATTGCTAGGGCACAGCCTGAAAAATCAGGACAGACACACTGTACTCCAAATGACAGCTTGTCTCCAGAGACACACAATAACTTGCAACACTTTCTTCAAATGGAATGCCCTTGGCACAAGGCTTCTTCAGAGAAAATTGACCACGGTTGGAACTGTGTGTAGGAATAAGCCAAAGCTCCTATCTTTAGACAAGACACCTTGCTGGCCCATGACACTGTTTTTCAATATGCTGGATGTTTACATGTACAATTCCTTTGTGCTGTGGAAGGAAATAAATCTTTCTTGGATTCAAGCAAAGAGCTACCAAGGAAGTTTTTCTGAATGAGCTAGAGAGCACTGGTTACCCCTCATCCTGATGTGAAGGGCACAGTTATGGCCTTCTGATGGCGAGGAAACAGGTCATCGTCTTCTCAACAACTAGGGATTCATTACAAAATCTACAGCGATTTAGTGGTTGAAACCATGTCATTACATTTTGACTACATCAATTTGCTGTCAAAATCCTTGTGAAATGGTATAAACTAGGTCTATGGTAATCACAAAGACCTGATGCCAAGTAGGACTTAATGCAGATGCAGGCTTTCAAATAGCCTAAACAAAATCACATATTATTTATTTACCAGTTAATCATGAAATAAAAACAAGATTCTAGCATCCTCATTTTACTTTTTGCAGCACAATGGCAAACAAGAAGCTGCCTGTAACCCTCCTACATCATACAGATATCAAAATCTCTTTTGATATCTAGTTGTGAAAGACCTAATTGTTAGCATTCTGTGGGAGGTACAAAGTTTCCTCCTTCTGAAAGACCAGAGCACAATTTTATTTAGTCCTCTCTCTGAAAAGCAAAATACAAATATAAATTCTGAAATTTCCTTGAATAAAAACTAATTATTAAAAAGGCATAAAAGCAGTAAAACAAGCATGCAACAAAAAACAATTAATGAAAAAAGCGAAAAGGAAAGGTTAACATTTAACAATATACAGTATTGTCAACCTCACACGATAACCACATTGTAAACTGTTTACCACAATGTATATGTGTGCATTTGTAGACAGCAATGGAAAATGAATGACTTTGTGCACAAGAGGCCTGTCAGAGAGTTCAAAGATGTATATAGGCTAGTGAAAGTATTAGTGAGCATGGGCCCCATTGTGTAAAGAGATGGGCATCAGAGGGAGGGAGGCAGAGGGCAGGATGGAGTCCAGGCCATCTTTTGTTGACCATGTAAAGAACAAAGGCCTTAACATCTGAAATAGTATAAACTGTTAATTCAGATTCTGTAAAAAAACAAAAAAGAAAGAAAGAAAGAAAACAAATCATTTGCAGGATATGTACAGCATACAGTAAATAGCATTACTGATTAGTAGTAGGTCTACTTGTTGCACAATTCTTACAGTATGATTTAAAGTTCAGTTCTAGAGAAATGTCCTCACTTTGATGTGATATTTTCATACATCATATCTTTTGACTGAAACTGTATGGCAGTTGTCTTGGACTTATACTGAGATCTATCTGTGCAGAAGTGACTTTTCAGTTATCAGTGCCAGTGTAAAAATGCTCTACTAATAAATGTATTCAGTAACAATATAATAGTGGTACAAAGACAAATCATCTTCAGAAAAGTGGCATTTTACAGTGACTATCCATACTGTTTAACGTACAGTTGGTAGTCTAGAAAAGTAGCATTTTGTAGCATTATTTTACAGTTTCGGCACCATAGAAACACAAATATGTGGAAACATGCTGTAAGTCTTTTCGTTCGCGCTCCCATTCATATGGCCTGACTCAGTAAACACCAACTTAGAAACAACATAGCAACGAGAACAGAAGCTCTGTCATCTCAGCTTGAATGGAATGCCATTCAAATAGTTGAACCACATAAAATGATCTTCCTCTTTGTACATCTGTAGATTACATTTAAGATTTCTTTCCCATTAATGTTTATGCTGAAAATAAACGTCTTTTACATTAATATATGTGATGTGCACAATAGTTGGTTGTTGTTTTGTTTTCCTTAGCTAACTTAAAATGTAATGCCTTTCCCCAAACATAGCAGAACACTTAATTGTCTTTCATAGTCTCTTGTTAATTAGTATTCTGCACTCACTCTTTGAACACTTTTGCGCTTCATGCGCCATAAATCTAGAGTCTTCTCTCAAGTGAAAATCTGGTTGTGCTACAGTGTCCACTATCGGTTGGATCAACATTGTCGCTCTTCACTCTGTGCCTTGCTTTAGGGGAAGAAATAATACTTTATTCGCTATATCTTTATCAGAACAGATCATAACTGTAATCTGTAAGTCAACCATTTTAGATTTAGTGTTGTTATTGCGCCACAATACTCGCAGTGATGGATGTCATTTGGAGAGGATACTGCACTTTTGTTCTCACAACACTTGTTTTTCAAGGTAAATAACATGTAATATCAGTAGCTAATATATTAAATAACAACAAATATATATATTTTTGCATGTTTAAACTCCTAGAACTAATTGTATTTGTCGATAAACAATGTCATGAATTAGCTTACTATTTGTCAGTACACAGGCTAGTCGCTAACTTGGCTGTATTACAGGAATTCTTAATTTAAGGTTTTAAAAAGTTCTGTTTCATAAGTAAAGTTATGATGGTTAGTAAACAGATAGGATAAGATTATGAGTTATGATGTTTCTACAATACAGGTCGCAGTTTAAAACAAAGTATAGCTCCACGAATGTATTTTTTAAATTCATAGATATTTAATAATGTTATTGCTACAGTGTTTAAATTTAAGGATATGGTCTTCTAACTTGATCAAGGCTGTTGTGTTTTAAGCTTCTATCTGTGAAGTTATTTGTATAGTGCGGTTTGCAGCAGATGTACTGTATGTGAGGATTTTGATGTATGATTTGTGTGTGTGTGTGTGTGTGTATGTACCTATAATGTGTTTTGCCTAGTATTAAGTAATCTCTCCTTTTCCTTGTAGAAGTTACAGGATTCCTGATCAGGAATGAAGAGCTGAGAAAGTGTGTACAGGTAAATGAAGGTCAGGTCAGCAGCAGGTTAACCCTGCAAGAGTGCAGAGCTGATTCGGCTCTGCAAGAGTGGCACTGGAATCCTGAGACACGCTCCCTCAGCAACCCACAGACAGGAGGGTGTTTAACTGCACCTCAGATCCAGGAGCATGAGAGTGTTTGGCTGCAAACTTGCAGCTCTGAGGAGGAAGATCGTGAGGGCCAGACCTGGAGCTGCTCTAAAAAGGGTCTCCTGACGTTACACGGCAAGGGTCTGCACCTGAGCATACGTCACGATTCCTCCAAGGTCTTCCTTTCCAAAGATCGTGGGAAAGGCAGCAAGTGGAGGACGCTGGCAAATCAAACGGTATGCGAGGAGACAGACAGCACACATCACGGCCAGAATGTGTTACAAGATTCTCAGCAGACACTTTCGACTGGACCCCGAATCCTCACACAAATTCGATATTGGCATTGTAAGAGAAGTAGATTAGAAGTTCTTCATTAATGATGGGTCTGGGTTTCATGTATTCTGCCATCCCATCATTCTGATTAATGACATCTCATCTACTTCTTCAGTTAAAACTCAAGACTGCTGAGTGCCTGCTATCATTTCTGTTATACCAGACCATATCATCTTCTGTCATGTGTGTGTTTTTTTTTTTTTTACTTGCTCATCTGGTCATATTCATTTGTACCAGGGTTCCCACAGTACTGTAAAACTTGGAAATATCAAAACAGTCATGGAAGCATAAAATTTTTTTTTTTTGGTTTGAAGACTCAGGAAGCCTCAAGCTGACACAAATAAGTTATTATTAATTATTAATTTTATTAATTATAAATTAATTATTTATTATTGTGGTACCTGACATACAAAATGCAAATCCATCCCAGCAATCTCTGTAAAATTTTAAAATACTTATGCAGGACTTCAAAATTCATTGGTCAAAATGGGTGGGAACCCTGTGTAATATGTCTATTCTGCTTCTAATAATTTCTATGATATATTGCATGATTGTATCTTTATAATCTCTTTATTTTATTTTATTTTTTACATAAGCTGGGAATAATGACCAGACCTCCATATTAAAGTCCACTGAAGCAACACAGACATCAGATGCATCGGCTGAACCTCAAAGTAGCATGGAGCCTGATGGACCTTCTGTTAATGTGTTTACAACAGACTATGGTAAATGTGGAAAGAGCTAATCCGTTTCTGAAAAAATACAATTTGTTTTATCTGTTAAATCAGTCAGGAAATATGGTATAAACAAGCAAATGTTTAAAACACACTGATCCTTAAATAGTTCATCTGACTTATGTCCACATGAGGGCAACAGAGGAGAGGAAACCTAAACACGGTGCCATATCTTTGGTGATTAGCCAAAGAAACTGATACGTTCAATAATGAATAATGACAGAAAATGCGTTTAAAAAAAATTGTAATACACAAAATAAGAATATTAGTTTGTGATATTCTACTGTGTTTAATAACAGGAACAGGCTGGAAAATGACAATGTTGCTTCTAAGCAGCTTGGCCCTGTTACTTGGGCTTGTGATCCTTACTCTTAACATCTACCAGAACAGGTAAGATATTTCTCATTTTTGGTAAATAAACTTTCAAGGCCTTCTCAATGCAAGACTTTAATTTTATGCATGTAAATACAGACGGAATGTATTTTTCTTTGAAATGAAACTGATCTATGAATATGCTCATTGAGATTTCATAACAAGGAATGACTCCGCAACATGGTTTTCCCCCTTTAAGAGTCACTGATCTATTTTCTGTCTTCATGCACAGGAGGAAGAAGACTGTGGTGGTGCTGAAATCCTACACTCCGACAGGAGAGGCCAGTCTGCCAGGGTCCCCGGTGCCTAGTGAGAGAGCCCCTCTAACCCGACACCCTATGAAAACTGCTCAGTCTCCCTCCATCCAGCGAGGCGAGATCCTTGTTGAATGGAAAGATGGAACAGTCACCCCACTGTTTGAAACATATCTGACTGACTAAGTGGTGTCTTATAGAAGAAGTTGCTTTGAGTAACTTGCGTATTGTTCCCAAGCAAACTGACAGACCTGCATTGGTGGCTAATTAATTGTGATTGAGCAATAATTTTTCAAAATAGGGAAGGGAATCCAGGGAATCACTGCCAATTCCGTGATTATTGCCAATTTCCATGTATTTATTTGATATGCAGCTGTGGGATAAAGTTATTGCAAGAAAATAAAGATACAGTCTCACAGTCATTATCACAACTTTAGTAACAGTATATTGATCAGGACTCAGAAGTCTCTGTCTTCTTGCTTAAAATCATTTAAAATCAAATCAATATTTCATATGCGTTTATTCAGTTATTTTGCTATAATGACTGTCTGACTGTACATTATCCCTAACATATCTAACATCTTAAAAAAATCACAGACATCTGTTAGGTTTACAGAATGCCATCCCTCTGTTGAATTTTGAAAAACTGAGGTTGGGTTCTGATCAAAGACAATATTCTGTACCTTGCCAAAAAGACATAAGGTAACGTCAGGTCAAATACAGATCAAACTTAACAAAAGATATACTATATAATTAACAATTAATGCTTATGTAAGCTGCATTCTGTGTATGTGCATGTAAAATAGAGAATTAGGTATGTTCTTTAATGGAAAACAATAATACATTCAAAATTTGCCTCTAAAACTGATTTAGGATTGAAGAAAGCCTGAAAGCTTTTAAAACAAGTGTTGTGTTTAACAGTAGATTATTCTTGAATTGCATAAACCTATACATCTGCAATTGTTTTTATATCCTGCAGACAGTTGTCTTGTTAGTGTGATTAGGAACTAGTTTAAAATATATGAAAACCATTTCTATAAAAAATAACATTATTAAATATCACATGTGATATAGTAATATTTAATGTTTAAATAAAGTACTGTTGACATACACGCTTTGCTGCAACTTGCAAAGGGATGGAGGGGCACCTCCTTAACTCTTTTGCCAGATTTATAATCATCAAGCTAACTTTACCTGTTTCTTTTGACATACTGCTTTGTAATGCTCTTCAGCAGAGGAAGAGATGAAAAACATGTCTGTGCAAGTGTGTTGTTAGGGTGTAAATCAGGCATATTTTGAGTGGGAGAGAGGAGTAAATGTGAGGTTGACATGCAAGCATTGAAATCAAAGCCAGAAACACAATATGGTATTGCAGTTCTCACTTCTTCACAAACACACACACATAAGTTCATAATGACAAACTAAACTGTAAATATTTGATTAAACATTCTATACAGTATATACAACTTTGAATTTGAAGCATATCATATAAATTATATACCATATGTACAAATAAATGCCTTTTGAAGGATCTGAGGCCATTGTAGCACAATAACAGATACCTGACAGAGATACGAGGAGTGATACAGATAAAAGTATAACTTTTCCATACAATACTCCAGAAGAATCTCACATTTGCCTTCCACTGTTATGCAGTGGTCTGGTGCTGTGGTTTGGGTTGCAAGGTTTTTGCTACACAGATAAGCAAATTGACAACATTTACAATCACAATGTTATTTTTTTTATAAGTCAAAACTCTACAAGATGCGACTATAAGATAACCAACAAGAAGTGGAAGACATGCCTGTGCAAGAGATAGGGTGTGACAGCTTTTTGAAAGTTATATTGAGCAGGTGTGTACTGAACAGCCAAATGCGTTACATCAATTTGTTTTTCTGTGTTCGCTTTTGTTTTATTATCATTATCATTATTTGTTACAACAAATATATAGACATCTTTGGATGCCCTTGAGGTCATTGTGGCATAATGGCATACGCAGATACATTCCAGAGATAAGCTAACTTAAAATTGACAGTGGTCATACCATTGAATGTATATCTTATCTGCATTGCTCTGTTATCATTTTTTAGATGTATTTAGTGTTCTATGCAAATAAGCCAATAGGCAACAGCTGGTTTTTAGTCCCTGTCACAATTGTCCCTAATATAACAGTATCCATAAACAATAAAAAAAAGTACAATCTAACATGGAGCGCAAGCTCTCTCTGCTCTCCCACATGCAGTATAGGTATCATTAACATTACATGAGACAGGACCATAGAAATTGCTTGTAATTGTATATAAGCAGAAGCTCTCCCATAGGATATCTATCTAGATAACAGAGGATGTCCCCACCCGAAAGAGCATGATTGAGTTCCTATCTGTTACTGTCGCCCTCTTTCCATTGGCTGTGTATTTGTATCTCTGACCACAACCTTTTCTGTTCTCCCACAAGCATACAGTTATGGAAATTAGTCATAATGGTCATAGTGCAGCAACTGCACGTATCTTGCTTCAAAAAAATGCACCAGGAAGCTGAAAAAATGAAGGATGATCAGATAAATTAGATGATATTACCTGACAAAACATCTGCTAAATGAGACTGGAGTCCCAGAACGAAACTCAAGAAGGTGAAACACTGTGCAGAACATCTAAATGATGCTCTGTTCATTTGTACAGATTGCAGAAGTACATCTTAAAACATGTCCCTGAAGGAAAATTGTGATTTGTGGTTTCCTGATTAAAGATCACAAACTTTTTTTTTTTTTCAGAAACTCTGAAATAAGAATAAGTGATTTTTTTTTGAAGAGCACTAAATGTCACAAAATCTGAAGAGCCAATATAAGGCTATCATATGATAGTCAGATCAACAATGCAGACAACAGATGTCTTGCAGGTCATTTAAACCTTGAAAAGGTGTTTATATTTGTTACAGATAAACCCTGTCTTGATTAAAATAGATCCAAACATTTTAAGCATTTCTTTGTTTCCTCATTTCACTGTTAACCTTAAAACTTGGTTTGTTGAATTAACGGCAATGTTATCAGAGGTAAAAAAAAAAAAAAAAAAACATTAATGGCATGTTGACAAGTTATTTAGGACTTGAGTATTGTCCTGGGAAAAAAAAAGAGAATTCTGCTGTTTTTTGTAAGGTACTCAGGGGATGTGCACACTCAAATGCCTACATGAACAAAGCTTATATCCTTCAGGTGTCCTGCGTGGAATGTGGTACAATTTACATACTTTCGATCATGATTTGCTACAGTATGCTATAATTACCTTTTTCAAGCAAGGTATTCATGTGTTAATCAGCTACTGAAATGTAAAGATTTAAATTCAGGTACAGGTTTTTCGGTCTGAACGCAATTCCTTTGGAAAACATCTGAAAAGGTGTTATCAGTATGGATTCCTCTCAGCTTGTTTTTCCACATGTGGGCAACATATGGGTTGGCAGCATCTTAAAGGTATCTGGGTGCTGTGATGTCTTAGCTCCCAGCAAAAGATCCTGTGACCCTTTAAAAAGCATGCCTTTAGGCACGTTTGGTGGATCAAAAACAGGAAACAACATAGTAAACTTGGGAATGTGCTTTACAAGTACTTATGTACCTCAAAGACTGCGACTAAATCATGACTTGCACATTTTGCCCATAGAGATCGTGTTTGTTTGACAATATTGAGTATACACTTTAAAACAACACAATTTGGCTGACATAAAATAAATAATAAAATCAGTTATAAATCTACAAACTGCACATATTGCTTAGCTTAAAGATGAAAAGACAATGTTCTTTTGGATTTCACATGTGGTGTTGAGGCCAATGGTTATAGCTACGCCAGTCAAGTCTTTCAAGAGGATTTTCAGGTACATTACAGGTTTCACAAGAAAAAAGAGGCGTCATCCCATAGGGCGTTTTATTAAAACCACCCACATTCTTAGCTGAATGTTATGCTGTCTGACTTCTTAGGTTACTAAAACAGTGCTTATGTGCTACACAAAGGAGAAAGTTTCCTGTTCAGATTTTTTTTTTTTCCAAACTAGAAACCAACACTGTGAAATTCCTTCTCATTGAATTTTCCATGCAAGCCATCGAGGAAAATTTGTGTCATTTGTGTTTTGTACACAGGAAACTGAATCGGATGAGGACACATGCTGTAATTAGCTACTCAGTATATTCCTGTTTACGTAAGAACTCCACACCCAAGCACAATACTTTGTGTTATTAAGCAAAATGTTCATAAAACAATCCAAACAGATCGAGAAAAAAAACAACAAAATAACTGCAGATTTCACATCTCATTAAATCTGGCATACGTTATCTAAACGCAAGTTAAAAATGAAACACATGCTCGGAGACCTCTATGCAGGTGTGTGTGGGCTCTAAGCCAGCGCTGGATACCGTTGCACAAGATAAGCTTCATGGAGTCTCAACAAGGGCACGGGCTTTTGTCATGGTACTTGTTCTACTTGTTTCCCACACTGAGTGGGAATTAGGACAAGAGTTGTCGTGTGGAAGTGCTCCTCTTCGAAGAAAATGAGAACTGGTACTGAAAGTGCCTCAGGCACAGAGAAGCGGTCCGCGATAATGTACTGCAAGAAGAAAAAGGATGCAATGGCCAAGAGAGTCGTATTTATTAAAAAGAGAAGGCTTTGTGAAGGTGTGCAATATGAGCCAGCTGAGATTTCTTGATATATCTGACTTGCATAAGTTGCAGGAAGAGACAAGCTGCTCTTGAAGCAAAGAATTTAGCATGTTGATATATTAATCATGTATAGTCCAGGAACCAAGCATATGGAGAATGATTAATACAGTTTAGGCTTACATACTGTTCAAAAGTTTTCATTTACAGTTTTATAAATCAAGAATACATTAAATGAATCAAAAGGGACAGTAAAGACTTTTACTTTGTTACAAAAATCTATTTCAGATAAATGCTATCCGTTCTAAAGTTCTATTCATATCCTGAAAAATACATCAAGGTTAATCTAAAAATGTGAAGCAGCACAACTGTTTTCAACACTGAGAATAAGAAGAAATATTTCTTGAGCACCAAATCAGCATGTCAGAAGGTTTCCGAAGGATCACCTGACACTGAAGGCTGGAGTAAAATTCAGCTTTGCCATCATGGAAATAAATTACATTTTAAAATATATTTAAAAAGAAAATTGCTTCTATTTTCCTCATTTGTAAGTCTCTTTGGATAAAAATGTAAATGTAAAACAGTTAAATTGTAATTATATTTTTAGCTACCATATTTTCTGATATAATACTGCTTTGGTAAGCATAAGAGACTTGACCACAAACTTTTGAATGGCAGTGTTAATCCATACGCTTTCTGGAGAAAGGAATTACTTGATTTCTTGCCATCATCAATCTGCAAGCTTGAATTAAATGCATTGATTTATGTGTAGAGGCAGGCCTTCCTTTGTTTTGTAATTGGTTTTAGAAATGTAACATCCGTCTGTGAGTTATTGCTCTGTCAACAACACTGTGTTGTTAGCAACAATTTGTTTTCGTAGGGTTCTGGGAAATATATCAGGGATAACAAATATTATAATTGAGTTCAGAGAACTTTAACCTGGCGTGCTGTGGCTTGGTTGAAGTAATTGTATTAATTCCCTTTTAAAGATTGGTTTCTCTAGATGGTGGAATGTATTATGTTTTAACACACCCATGTGTTTTTCCCAATAGCCTTAATATGATTGAATGTGAACCTGAAGGAGACTGTAAATATTCTTTCTCCCTCATACTTAAGTTTAAGCCTCCAATAGTCCACACCTATTGTTTTGTAAGCCCTTAACTAGACTTGTTTCATTCATCTTGTGCTTTTTTTGATAATGAATGGCTTTGGCATAATGTTAAATTCCACTACAAATGGATGACAACCCTGGAGGAGAACATGAATGTGCACATCCTTAGCAAAGAAGCAGCAAGGGTGGTTTCAGCTAAACAACATAAAAATGACAAAACATCACATCACATTGTGAGACTTAAAAAAAAAAACTTTATTAGGATAATAATCCATTGCTTCAAAACATTCAATCACAAAATTAAAATGGTTATGACATTAACAGATACATGAAAGATGAAATGAACATAGTCTAAAGACTGTAATGCTCTACAATTGAAAGATTACTACGCTGTTGACCGTAAGATGTTTCTTGAAATAAGTAACGTCCTGCTATGTAATAGAAAAAAAACTTTTTTTAAATGAAGATGACAATACAAAATATTTACAAAAAAAAAGATTTTTGTATTGAAAAGTATTGAAGCTATTTTTTTGGTTGAATTGCTCACCTTCTCAACAGGAATGGCAACATATTTGGATAATAGTAGTACAAAAGTGTGAAATACTGGAAATATTGATAGGTGCTACACTACATTTTTTACTAACTTTAAAAACAGTGAATTAATATAATTCGTGTTGCTGAAGAAACACCTTTTTCCCTTAAAGGAGGAATCTGGAGGATGTGTGAAAAAAAAAAAGGAACATGCTAAAGAAAATATATATGAAATATCTGCTGGAACAATTAGGAAAACTTTGTAATCTTGACATTTGCAGCATTTTATTTTAAGTCCATTTAATGGTCTGCAAGACTACCAGAATCCCCTCTGAAAGAGAAGAGGGAGCCTTGGGTGGAACAAGACATATCTATGGAACTCAGAGACTTAAAGCAGAAAGGTTATGTGGATCTATGGGGCGAAGGGCTGGTGCAGATCACGCAGATCAATCCTTGCTGGTGACGTCATTAAGTTTCAAAGACTCTTCCTTAGCTTTATTCTTATTGTCCCGTACTTCTCCCTCCACATGCCACCCCACCATCAGCTGGTACACAAGCACACCAATAATGGATCCCAGGAAGGGGGCAAAGATGGGCACCAAAAACCAACACTGTCTGGTACTGTTGCAAACCAGAGAAACATTCGTAAGTGTTTACTGAAGTCTGTTTCATCACTGACAAATGCAGATCAGCTCGAAAGCATTGCGAGTTGGTTCATGATGTACCTAATTAGTTCATGTTATGGGAATTAACTGTACTTACGTGAAGACTTCACCACCCCAACCAGCCATGGCAGTGAAAAGACGAGGCCCGAAATCCCTAGCTGGGTTGACTGCATAACCAGAATTGAAGCCCATGGAGAGTCCAATGATAAGGACGCTGAATCCCACCGTGAAGGCCTCAAGACCTTGAGGGATTGGGTTGTTGTAGGGGTCCACAATGGCCAGGATGCAGACAATCAGAGATGCTGTGCCTATCACCTGTGAAGATGGTTATATTTTATAGATGTAAATATAAAAGATAATAAATATAGTACATTTATTATAAACTACAGAGCTCCTAAGGGGACATGGTGATGGGGAAAAAACTGCGATGGAGGGAAAAATTATATTTCAATGAAGTGCGTTCACTCAAAAATAGCACTGAAAGAGTTACAAGCTTGCAGTTACTGACCTGGTCAAAAAATCCATTCAAGATGGTGAGATGAGGGTTTGGGTACGTAGCAAAAATACCAGCAGTGGCTTTATCCCCAATTACAAGCAACTCATTTTTTTCTCCAGCATAATCATACATTGCATCTAAAATAATTTTAAAAAAGTGTGAGAAAAAGAAGAAACATAATATACACTTTCGACAAGAAAGAGAATTAATATTACATAACATGTACCATGGTATTCCGCAAAGATAATTGCGGCACCGAAGAAGGCTCCAATTGTTTGGAACAGAAAGTACACAGGGAACTTTCTCCATTTTTCTCTTCCCAAGAGGCAGAGAGCAAATGTAACTGCTGGATTTAAATGTCCGCCTAAAAAAAAGAAGAAGAAAAAAAAGCTCTTTCTTCCCATAAGTTCATCCACAAAGAAGTTTTTTTATAAAAACTCAGTTCAACAGCTTAGGATGCAATTTTAGAGGAGTTTACCAACCTGACACCTGGCCACAAACCAAGATTCCAAGGGTAGCAGCAAACCCAAAAGCAAGGTTTACAGAGAGAAAGCGACCATGGCTTTCTCCACTTAGTACCATTTGGGCCACCGCACCACAGCCAAACATCTGTAAACGTTATTAGATAAGAACATGTGTTAATCACTATTTGAAAACAACACAATTTTTATGTGTACCATTTATATCAAGACAATGAAGAGTCCAGGTGAAAATAAATGCTTTTTTGACTCATTTTACCAACTAAGTGTAGGCCTTTCACATCATTGTGAGTCGCAACATATACTTTAAACTGGTGATGAAAATAGCAGGTTGCCGTTTCAAACTCTGCTAAAAATACACTAAGTATTCCCTTTTGTTCAAACACTACAAATCTATAGTTACAAAGGGCTGCATTTTTTCACATAGATCATCTCAGACAGGTCATTACAAGTCCGTTCTGACAAACAGCAATTGCAAGTTACTGTTCAGACTTGTGGCTGAAGTTTTCATGGAAAAAGTCACCACAGAGTTGAACTGAAATACCTGTGGCATTATACCGAATTATCAGGATCAAGCAACGACTTTACCAAAGTCATGTAATTGCCAGGGTACATTGAAGAGCTTTCATGAGAGTAAATCTCAGCAACAACGTCAACACAATTCTAAAAAAGGCATCTCACAAAACCAATTTATCACCTAAACATGGCCCTAAGTATCCTTTCGAATTCAATAATGCCAGCTAAATGCAAACCTTGGGTTATTCAGTTTATTTAGGTTTTCTGTGACCAAAGACCCATTGTTCCTGTTTCTACTCTAAGAAGAACATCCGCTGATAAAGTCACCTTCACAGACAAAGAGCATGTACAAAGTAGCTCGCACACGAATACCTTTTTGCCGCTCAGCAAACATCACACCCGTTGTGTGATCCAGTTATCGCATGACCTCTCTATTTAAGTATTATCTCTGGTATAACCTGTGCCACACACCTTAAAAACAAACTATGAGTGTACTTCTTGAAATGTGTTGTTGTTTCTAAAGTGCTTGTAAAATTGCATAATTGCCCTGTGAAGACTTTGTAGCAGCAGTTTGGTGTCAATTCCCTCTTTAATGAGGGTCATATTTCATACCACATTGTAACTGTCATGTCACAGCTCTGACTGCAGTGGCAGTGGTTTCTTTACTGTAGTCTGCTGCGTGTGATGCATTTATCAAACATCCAGTTAAGTGCAGTGTTTGAGAAACATTTCCTTTTAGTGATATCACTGTGTAGAAAACTAGTGGTAAATTGTGGGTCCGCCAGGCATGCTTTTCTATTAGTCATTTTTTCACTACAGACATTCATATCTAAATGTCTAAATGACTGCATTAATTTCAAAGCTTAAAACAGATTTTGCATGTTTAGAATTAGATAAAATGGATTTAGTGATGAATGAATACTTTGTGTTGGTGTGGCAAATGCGCACTAATAATATTGACTCGATGCATTACGGTGATTTATTAAACCTCAGCAAATTATCATGTGTGAATTGTGGCATCATTATAGATGTGATGAAACAAGTATTACTCATTGAAAGCTTTGGCACGCGCCTCTGTTCTGCTTCAAGTTGCATTATTACATGCCTATCTGTGCTGTTTGTCACAGAGAAAATCGCTACTAAATTAAGGAGGATGTATACTCATATTTTTTCTGTTTATCATGTGTGTCAAGAGCATTTCTCATGAACAGGACTGAGATACTATCCACCTTTCTTTCTTATCTATTTGCAAATGACTTCCTTTAAGCATAGTTCCTCAGGGCATAATTAACGTTTGTCAATAAAGGTCCATGCAGGAAACTTCCTTTATAGGTTGTAAAGGTACGTTTCAACTGTTTTTGAATGTTTTGTGCATACAATCAAAGTCAGTGGGATTCAAAACTACTGACTTTCATTGTATTTAAAAAAGTCCAGGTTTGATAATACAGGTTTGAGCGACTTTTAAAATGGTAAATTTTAACAGATTTTTGGATACTTTCTAAAGTATTCCTTGGACTGAGGACCAACTGCAGGAAACTAAAACTTCACTGGTGTAAGATCTGCATTCCAGAATCCACACCAATGTGTGCACAATAATGCAGATATAAATACTAATTTGCAATAATCCACCATTCACTTGTTATTTGCTTGTGAAAATTCTGAGTGCATGTACCAAAGTAAACATTACAGTCTATCTTTGTCATCAATCTGAGTGAGAAGAAATTATGTGAGACATAAACATGCTGTTTCAGACTATGTGACAAACTGCATTTTATTAAGTTGCACTGACCTCAGCTTTGATGCTGACAATAAGTAATTCATGATTGAGGAGAAATACCCACCACTAGCAAGAGAGTTCCCAAGCATTCAGCCAGTCCCTGGCGCAGCAGCTTGTTGCGGATCTGGAAAGTGTGTGCAAGCTTATCCAGCATGACCTTCTGCCAACCCATCTTTTAGCCAGGTCCGGATGTCTTCCTTTGCCTGTGTGAAACAACCTGTATGTCCCTCAGAGATGTATGCTCATGTGAAGGCCAGTGCTCTGGTCTTATAGACATGATAGACCAGGACCAGCCCTTCATGCATCTGCCTGCCCCCTTACAAACTTCTTCACACACACACACACACACACACACACACACACACACACACACACATGAACACTCACCTATACACCACATTAACTCCCTCGATCCCTCCCTGTATTATTCACGTATGAACACACACCCCTTCACACTGCATTCATGTCCTCTCTATTATAGAACATGTTCTTCCCTTTTTTCTCTTCCCTTTCTCTCACACCTTTGTATTTTTGAAAACTGCTGAAACATCATCACCCACTATTAAGCCTTTTAGTTTAAAAATGGGCCTGAGTGTGAAACTTTAGAGGTAGATTAGGCTAATTTCTAAAGGGCCAGTGGTAGGAGAAGAGTTTCATTTAGAGTTGACATGAAACATAAGGCTCTGGCTCCAGGAATGGGCAGGGCCATTTGCTTAGTTGTATATGATAAATAAAATCTGTTACTAATTATGCTGATTAGGCACTAAATGAATCTAAACACATATTTATTTATTCATTTATTTATTTTTAATTTACAATTTCAAGGCCATAAATATTCTGGAATGATTTAAACCGCAAAACAATAGAATTGGTTTTACATCAGTGGTAGCCAACTAGTCGATCGATAGACTGGTAGAACTTTTTTTTTATCTGCTCACACACTGTGTTACAGTATTGTTACTGCATTGCTACAGAGTTTTCTTGGTTGCATCAGTTTTAAAGTTTAAAACCAAAGCATGAAATGTAGACTAATTCAAATACAATTTAAATTAAAATTTAATTTTAATTAACAAACCCCAAAATGTATTTTGATTTATTTGGACTATTCCGGTGTTCTGTCGATTTGTGCTAACGTTAACGTTACCCTGTCCGATTTTGCTACCTCCCATTAAAACAGGGGATAGTACAATTCTACAACGAAAAATGCTACCGGTAAAATTATGGTTTATTAAGGTCTACACCTACCCCAACCCTAAACCTACCCTTACAGTAATGCAGATACATTAAATATTGTTGTTTAGCAAGAGAAAAAGGACGCAATATTGATGTGCGCATGCGCAGTAAACCTGGTAGGACAATCTGACGGATAGGATAAAATGTCAGGACACCGGAATTGCACACGTTTGCATTGCAGTCATTTCCCAAAATGTAATTTGTGTGGAACTATTACGAAGTCTGTAACGACCGTTAACAGAGGCCAGATACGGTCGCCAAAACTGAACCAGGCAGAGCGAGCTCACTAAACTCACTGTTCACAATGGGCGAAATATAGGAAGAAAAATATACATATTGCTTTGGAGGTTTATATGAATGTATCACTAAGGGGAACTGACTGTGTTCAGATAAGTTTCAACGGCATTTTCTTTTCCACTTACCTCTGTATAAACTAGTAGTATTTTGAAGGTCAGCCCTGCTTTGTTTACAGCCGTAACCAAGGAAACACTCCTAAGCGCCACCTGCTGCTGTCATCAGAGAGTGAATTTGCGTCTCATTCAGTTCGTCTGCTGTTTTGTTTCGGACAGATGTTTTATGTAGAGTATAATTTCACAAAGCTAAAGTCAGACCCAAGTTTTGACCAAAGCTAAAGTTGTTTTTGCTTTTAAATCTTGAAATTATGCAATCTAATTCAAATAAAACACAGCCGCTGATGCTGCATGTGTGCAGCATCTTTGTTTGGGCCATCATTAAAATGCAGTTGTTGCCTCTAATTTCAAATGGCTACAGATATTTAACAATTTGCCTGTTATTGAGCAAATAAACAATAGATAAATGTGTTAAATAAATAGATAGATAGATAGGTAGATAGATGATAGATAGATAGATAGATAAAAGACCTCAAATTGGAAGTACAATCTGTCTTTTTCTATCAGTTCTCCAATAGGCATATTTTGTCTTGCATTAAAACAGTGGTCAGGGATCTTGGGTTTAAAAAGGCTGATAATAACGGGTTTACATGAATGGTATACAGTATAATGCATTATGGCAAATTTTGCATAGATTAAATAATGTAATTGTAATGACCACTTAATTGCACAGGGAAAAGGGTTATGTAATATTTTCTGAATAAATGAGATTTTCTTAAAAATGTAAAAAAAAAAAAAAGTAGCATAGGCCTACCTCAAAATGACTACAATGGTCATGCCCAGCACAGCCTTTTAACACTCCTACCATCAGGCAGATGCGACAAGAACGCTGAACAGTTTTTACCTACAGGCAATCAGGCTTGTGAACGACACCAATCCACTGCCTCTACCCCCATCATTGCAGACACAGATTATATGTATATATGTATAGGCCTATATATAAATACATGCTCTAGGGTCTTACCACATCCTACCACAGCCCATTCGTATTGCATGGCCTCCCTAATGCACTTGCAAAGTGAATACAACATTCCCAAACACAAGAAAGCTCTAAACTTCACACAGATAAACTGCTAATATTAGATATAACAGGTGGGAAAATATTTATACTCTCTTGTACAGTGTGGACTGTGGGTCAGATAGTTAAAGATAATAATGCTGTATAAATATTAAATTAAATAATGAATGTAAATAATGTTCATTTTATTTGGCTGAGTAAAGTGGTTCAACCCTTGTCTTATATTTAACTTTGCCCTATGTAAAATAGGTGTTTATTAAGTTAAAACATATGTCATGATAAATGTGGTCTTCCAGCCAGTTCTATCAAACCTCTGCAGATAATCCAGAATGCTGCAGCAAGAGTAGTCTTTAACAAGCTAAAAAGATGCATGTCATTCCTCTGTTCATCAATTTGCAATGGCTACCAATAGCTGCTTGCATAAAATTCAAGGCATTGATGTTTGCCTACAAAACAACCACTAGCTCTGCACCCCTTTACCTAAATTCACAGACTTATGTGCCCTCTAGAAGCTTGCGTTCTGCAACTGAACAGCACATTGCCTTCTCTATTGCCCTCATTTGTAAGTCGCTTTGGATAAAAGCATCTGCTAAATGATTAAATGTAAATCACTTGTGATGTTCCTCATTTCTATGTCAGTTTAAATAATATTATCAGCTAAATGCAAAAACCATTGGGCATGACCTGCAAAGAATGTGCAAAAACCTTTTAAAAATCCTTGCATAGTTTTTCTCTTCTTGGAAAACAGAACATTTTAGACATGAATAAGTTATGTGTCTGTGTCATCGTCATTGTTTCATTTTTAAAAACAACTTTTTTTGACAGATTTAACCCTAAAAAGGGCAAGACCATAAAGAGACAACAGAAAATTAATTTATTGGTATTTTCCATCTTACTAGGACACAAATAATACAACCTCATGCTTTTTTTTTTAAACATGAGTTTTATCATTTTTTTTATTTTATTTTAAATTTTGTATTCCTCAGGATATGTTGCCCCTTGAGGGGTATAAGTTGACTAAAAACAGAATGCTTTTTTGGTAATTTTAGTTACAACATTACTTACAGTAAACATTCTGTTAAACAATAAGTATAATATCTATTTATGAATATATTAGCCTACTGTATCATAGTTGATACACCTTTCTGGGGCCTATAAATTCAATGATCAAAACTTTGCTGACAAACCCACAATCTACTGTACTTCATGCCTTCTGACCTTTGATTGATGGCTTTATCAAGTCTTTTTGCTGTGAAAACTTTAATGATTTTTATATAATAAATAACTTTTATATTGTTTAGTAATAATAAGAGGCTAAAGTTTGTGAACAAACTTTGATGTTGGCTTGAGAAAGCCAACTTGGGCAGCCTTGAGGCAAAAAAGCAAGATCACATGTGAGTTCGGTGTTCTTGAGCTGGCCCTGCCACAAAATAAGTGCAACAGTTATTGTTTTCATAATATTTTCCGATAGACCCTTGCTATTTTTCATTCTAATAAAAAAGCTTATGACAACAAATTTGATTTATTTCTCAACAGTTTATGTTCATTTGAGACATAAATGACTGTTTTCGATGATATTCGCCAAGATACCATGACTTTTGAATCTTGTGTTTGTGTCCATTCCAGTGGCAAATGAAGCGAAAGTGAGTCAGAGACTCGACACATCTCTCTGTGTCACACAAAACAGCTCACAAGCACTGAATTTAGCTCTTTAATGTGTTATTGTGCTTGAATGGTGTAAAATTGCTTGAATGTTCTGATGAGAACGGCTTAGAAACACAAAGAACTGACAAACTTTTGTGAGGATGCAGCACTGGTCCATTCGGAGTCGTGACAGATCAGTCATCTGTCCCGATCGTTTTTTAAACGATGGTCTTCTGGCCATTAGACGGTCATTACATTGGAGACCTGACTTGGCCACGATTAAATATGTTGGAATAGATTGGCAGCATAAAGGATATATATGCATTTATTTGTAAATGTAACCAATTTAAAATGAAAGTGAATGTGGGGAGTTCAAAGATTTATTGTCCTGTCTTTTCCTCTAGTGGACTGCAATGTCCTCTAGTCTAGAGGGGGCATTTTGCTCTGAAAATATAAGTCTATGGGAAATTTGTGATGTTTGATCATTATTTATACGAAAACTTGGAACAAACGTCTCAGGTTACTTATGTAAGCATGGTTCCCTGAGTAGGGAACGAGACACTGCGTCCTCTAGGGGTCGCTATGGGGAACACCTCGTCGTGACCCGTGTCTGTTAAATGCTTTGCTAGTGCTTGCCATAATGAGATGAATAGAGATCGTTCTTACCACAGAAATGCACGTTTCAAACAAAACAGTCACGAAGAAGAGAATGATGTGTGCTCCCGGCGCCTATTTATATTATAGTCACACCGGTAGTGACGTCATGGCTGTCGCCGGCCAACGAGTTGGTGTTTTTTCAATGTATGCTTCAGACACGGCGACGAGGCGACCGGTAGTGACGTCATGGCTGTCGCCGGCCAACGAGTTGGTGTTTTTTCAATGTATGCTTCAGACACGGGTCACGACGAGGCGTTCCCCATAGCGACCCCTAGAGGACGCAGTTCGAAGTTCCCATGAAAGGGAACTACACATCAGGGCCCAGGTCTCTGCCAAGTTTGGTGCTTGTAGCATTAAAGCCCTATAGGAGA